GGCGAAGAGGAACGAGTCCATCAATGTGGCGAGTGTGGACTAACTCTGTCCACTCGCAGTGCCCTGACAGCCCACGCGCGCTCTCATCGTGCCACTGCCGATGCCCATCGTTGCGACGTGTGCCATAAGACTTTCGCTGTTCCCGCAAGACTAGTGCGTCATTACCGGACCCATACTGGTGAACGGCCCTTTGAATGTGAATATTGCCACAAGATGTTTAGTGTCAAGGAGAACCTTCAAGTACATCGTCGGATTCATACTAAAGAACGACCGTACAGATGCGGTGTGTGCGACGCCGCTTTCGAACACTCCGGAAAATTGCACCGGCACGCTCGCATACATACGGGAGAACGGCCGCACGCATGCCCTCATTGCCACAAGACTTTTATTCAGTCGGGACAACTGGTCATCCATCTACGGACCCATACTGGAGAAAAGCCATACCGGTGCCCGGCGCCCGGCTGCGGCAAGGGGTTTACCTGTTCGAAACAATTGAAAGTGCATTCGCGTACCCACACCGGTGAACGTCCTTACACTTGTGATATTTGCCTTCGTGATTTCGGTTACAACCATGTGTTAAAATTACATCGGTTTCAACATTATGGAGAGCGTTGTTACCGTTGCACAGTGTGCGATGGCACGTTCAACACAAAAAAACAAATGGAGGCTCATATTTATAAAGAACATGGCGCAGATACACCGCGCACTCAACAGATGCCGGCCACCGGTTCACTAGTAGTGAACGGTAATGTAGTGTGCGACTTGGTAGAAGCAGCGTTACAGCAACTACCACCAACTCCACCCAGTTCTCCACCTTCTCCTCAGTGTCCCACAGCTCCTTCAGCTTCCAGTGTTACGACGCCATCAATTCCATCACCGTCCGCATCTCCATCTCCTGTTCCTCTTTCACCAGCACTCACCTCAGTGCAATATACCTTCGCACCATCCTCATTGCCGCCACGGAAAAGAAAATTAATTCCTCAAACAGAGACTGAAATACCCGCTGTGCGGCACACTTCAGTAATACAGTTCGCTCCAGCTGCCGCTTCCGACTCATAATAGGCAATGTCGTAAAATAATAATAATTATAATATTGTAAACAAGAATGTTCGTATTACATCCCGAATGTAGTATTTCCTAGCGTAATTTTCCCAGGCTTTTTCAATTCACTTGCTGTAAGTCGTTAATGAATGAGATTGTAGTGGTAGCGTTAGGTGTGAGTAGACTTGTGTAGGTAATTGCAATGGTAACTATGTATGTAGGTGTAGACTAGACAGTTGTGTATTCTGAACGCGAACATCTGTATTTAAACTGTCGAACACCAAGCGGTCACCGGTGACCGCAACCTATTGTTCTATAATTGTGTCTACAAAACCGGTACTCGACGAGTTAATATAATGTGAATTTTAATATTTAAGAGTTGAGCAAAAGACTAAAAGCTACTTAATAAGTAAGTGCATTTGTGCCGTTATTGTTAGTAATATAAGTTTTATATTTAATCTAATAGGTATGTTCATGATAACTATTAAGTTACAATAAAGTACAATATTGTATTTACATGTATTCGTTTTATTAAATACTTTCATACCATAAATACTAACTTTATGGCCAAACCATAAGTTTAGGTAAGGAGGACCCTACATTGAAATATTCCTCATAAATCACTCTATTATATATTGATGAGAATCTGTCCAGTAGTATTTGTTTTTTTATGGAAAAAGCCAGTTAAGGAGCAGACGGATCACCCGATGATAAGCAATCGGCGCCGACCACGAACACCTGAAACAAGAGAGGCGTTACAAGTACGTTACCGGCTTTTCGGGGATTACAATTTGTTTGAGGATTGTTGGGGATTCCGGGATTAAGGACATTGGGGAGGGGAGTGATTGGGCCTTCGGTAACCTCACCCACAAGATGAAACACAACGCAAGCGTTGTTCCACGTCGGTTTTCTGTGAGGATACCACGGGTATCACCCTAGTCGAGCCGGACCCTTCATGCCTAAACATGGAAAATTATAATTTATTATTTGTGGGAATCACAATCATGCGGACAGATGCGAAAGAACTTCTGATTGTTGGAACGAGCTAGATCACGTAGCGAGGCACACTCGTACCTGTCTAGATTTAACAGTGTAATCTCTTTATACATGTTTTACTTTCCTAATGATACCACTAAAGATCTTTTTTCCACAATTTCCTCTGAAGGAGTGAGCAGAGTCTATACGACAGAGTTGCTGTCTAAAAATATGTAAGTATATCTGTATATGAATGGTGCCGCCAACAGTGGAGTATATTAGAGGCTATATATTATGGCTAGGCTATATATTATAATATTCTTTCTGTCATTAGTCGCATGGTACCGTGCAGATTAATTAGTACGTAACTTATAAAATAGATTCCTTACTTAAACTCAAAACAATTTTAATTTGCGGCTTGTGTAGTTGTGAAGCACGCTAATCGCGCGTAACTAAGCTATTACTATCGATATTTACAGTGGAAAGGTAAAAGGAAGTTTAGTTAAAATTAAGAAGTCTGGTCTATTTATCAAGGTGGTACCAACCCGTATTGAGCAGCACGCGTGGTGTGATTAAGGCTTATTTATTGATTTTTTTTTAAGGGGGAAAATCATCGAATGACTGCTCCCGCCTGCGCCTGGGTGAGGCGGGAGGGAGTGTCAGACTCTTACTGACTAAAAACCACCCCGTTCCTTCTTCTTATTAAGGCTTAAACCTTCTCCTTGCGAGAAGAGACCTTTGGTCATCTCATCAGTTGCCACTTATTGTAATTAGATATAAAATATTTTCATGGAAACGTCGTTCATTAAAAATGTTATTTACCTAAGCTATATAAGTTAGCTTTTCGCTATATACCTACATAGGTACATCACAGACACAGACCGGCATGGACCTACGCTTGCGTTATATTTGCCGCGTGAGTAAGGTTACCAAAGACCCAATTTATCTCGTAGTTCCATCCCCAAATTCCCAATCTTCAAATCGCTAGCCTCTAAAAGGCCGGCAACTCACTTATAACTCCTCTGGTTTAGCGGGGTGTCTGCTCGTTTGCCGGCCTAACAGATAAAAAAGGAGGAAATACAGACGCGACTTCGACGCATCTACTTACAGTAACTACCACAGATATATTAAAGAATTTTTAATATTTTGGTAACTACAATACAAAACAAAAAAACTTTTCATATTCCTATTTACGAAAATATAAGTAAACAACATTTCCTATTTATTTGAGTTGCATGACCAAAAAATGGCCTTAGGAAAATACTTTATGTATCGTCCTCCCGTCGGGGGACCAGAGGGATATGTGGGACTCTCTGAGAGAAGCCCGGCCCGAGAAGTATACCCACTAAAAACCCAGGCGCACACTAGCGTCGCCATGTGATGGGGGTCTTGCAGACCGGTTGGACCCCCTCGGCTAAGCCTGTCAGAGATGGCGGGTCATATCACGCCCCTCATTGGCTCAGGGAGGGCTTTCGGGACGGTTCAGAGAAATATGAGTAGTGCAATGCAGGCGTCCCGCGCCTAGCGCCCGCTACTCTCCCCCGGGAGGGAGAAGGTGGTTGTATTGCTCTCTTCTCCTACCGACTCTTCGTCGTCGGAACGCTAGAGGGATAGCGTCTTCCTCTAGCTCACGCTCTGCCGCAGAAAGGAATTGCATGACATGGATAAACAGTAAATAAATAATAATAAAGGCATAATAAATGTTTTTGTGAGGATGGATGACATAACTCTTAAGGTAGAAATACATTAGCGTGGCGAAGCGTGAGAATTTTTTTTTTAAGTGGGGAAAATCATCGAATGTCTGCTCCCGCCTGCGCCTGGGTGAGGCGGGAGGGAGTGTCAGACTCTTACTGACTAAAAACCACCCCGTTCCTTCTCCTGCACGTCGAGCCGGAGCCCCGGTTACCCGTTAGGTTCTCCGCGACTCCGAATCGGCATCGGCCCTGTTGGGCCCCATCTGTGGTGGTCTGATGGCTCTTTGAGGCGCGCGCGGAACGCGACGCACCGTACGCTCGGGTCTGTTTCTGGTCGGACGGGGAGTCACCCATGCTCGTCATCCGCAGGCCCGCGCTTACGGTGGCCGGAGATCGTCACGCGATCCCCGACGCCCGGTGTGTCCTTCGCGATTGCTGGGTTGCGAGGAGGAAGCGCTTCGTTAACTAACGCGTCCAGTCTCCTCCTTAGCTAGCATGACTGCTTCGCAAAAGGAGGAGACGGCATCCCAATCCCCCTCGCTCCGCATCATGGCCTGCACTAGGCCCGGACGCGAGAGGTCGCCATCGTCGATCACTTCCCTGAGGGCACGTGAAGATATGCAAGTACGTATGTATTTGTGTGCGTACAAATACACCACTGACATTGCATTTTGGTACTCTACTCATTCTTATGTGACATCCATTTACTCTTTTGACATATCGATACGATATTCTTGTCGATTTATTTATTGTTGAGGCCATAGACTTACAATAAGATACGATATTCTTGTCGATATGTCGTTGAGGCCATAGACTTACAATGATTGCGGCTTAGGGCATAATGCAAACCTTAATTTTTTTCAGTTTTTTTTTTTAATTGCACATAGGTTTTTGGGTTCATAAATTTTTAGTGGAATAGGCTAGTAAACAAGTCAACGGATCAGGATTACCTGATGGTAAGCAATCGGCGACGCCCATGGACACCCGAAACACTAGAGGTGTTACAATACACGTGGGTTGCCGGCCTTTTAGAACTCAATTGTGGTTTTACGTCGGTTTTCTATGAATCTGGTATGACTCCGGCCGAGCCAGCCCATTCGTGCCGAGGTATGACAAAAATTATTTATAATAACATTTTTATTTTATAAAATCTAGGTATAATTTACATGAGTGATGTGGTGACTTTCTTACGTATCTCATACAAAGAGTATTAGATTTTATGAAATACAGAATATAAAATCCATAAACACACACAAAAGAGTTTTCTTGTTGTCTTTGAGTTGCTAGTTTGTTTACAAAGTCAAAATGGCTGCAAAGTCAAACAAGCCTGTCGGCTGTCATTTCTGAATTTTACAATAATCTATGGTTGTCAATATAGCTGTGCAGCCATTGATTCCTAAGAATTATTGTAACTCTTATTAATCAAAGAATTATTTTAAAATCAATCGTTCAAGATGGTAAGTAATCTTTGATTTTCAAAGATTTATTTATTGTAGACTATAATTTGTTATTATTTTACGAATAAAACAACAAAAAAGAGTTTGTTTTATGCCGGTAAAATCGGCGGGTTAATAATGTTTGTAAGCATCCAAACATAGAAATAATTATCCTAATGGCAATTATTCGTTATTTCAGACGATCGGGAAGAATAATAAAATGCAACAGCACATAAATTATAGAGTAAGGGTTATATTACAAGATTCACGGACATTCATTGGGACTTTTAAAGCATTTGATAAACACATGAATCTTATTTTGGGAGACTGTGAAGAATTCAGAAAAATTAAATCTAAAAATAGCAAAACTGCTGATAGAGAAGAAAAAAGAACCTTAGGGTTTGTTTTACTTCGCGGAGAAAATATAGTTTCCTTGACTATTGAAGGCCCACCTCCACCGGAAGAAGGATTACCTCGGGTACCAATACCGGGTGCAATTGGAGGTCCTGGAGGTGGCCGTGCAGCAGGCCGTGGAGCTGGCCCAGCTGGTGCTCCACCTGGCTTACAAGGCCCTGCTAGAGGTGTTGGTGGCCCATCACAACAACATATGGCTCCAGGGTCCCGGGGACAATTATCAGCGCCTCCTCAAATGCGAGGAGGTCCTATGATGGGTGGACCTCCACCAGGCATGATGGGGGCTCCTCCTGGAATGGGTCGTGGCGGACCGGGTGGCCGGGGTCCTCCTGGCATGCGACGTTATTAAGATTGCTTTAATGTGTGATACTGCAATAAGTGAATTAATCTCTTCAAAAGGAAACTGACCAATGTGTGTTACTAATTAGTGATAATTACGTGTTAAAAATTTATAATTGAATGCAGTGATTTATCTAAAAGTATTGCTATCACATATTCCAAGTAGTTGATAATAATGATTGTCCTATCTTCTATACTCTTAAGTAAATACTGTAATGTTTACAATTCTTGTGTTGGTGATGAGTCAATTTTTATTTTTGACAACAGTGTGATCATAGTACCTACATAACACAAAATGGATTTGTGTTACTTTTCAACAAAACCAAAAATGTCAAAATGTATGAGAATATGCAGGAAATGTCATTAAAGTTGTAACCTGCTATCTCAAATGTAGTATTATAATCTGTACTGCAGTTTTTAAATACCTACCACTCAATAAAGTGTGATGTTTCATCACTGAATTGAATTATACTTGTGTTTCATCAATATCTTATACCAATAGTAATGTAGCCATTCTGGTAATGTTTACTGATGTACTGAAGAATATGCGTTTTTCAGGTGAACCCAAAACATTTTGACTTGTCTGAACAGACATAGGCAAGACTATTAGATAGTTTTATTACACATATCTGCAGGATCTGATTCAAATTTATTTACTATTCAATTAACAAATATGTTTTATTTTATTACTTGCTTAGCTGAAGTTAAATCCTTGGTAAGAGCAATGCAAGTTAACTGAAATAATTTGTACACAATATTATTTACAGAATTACTGAAACCTACATTATGTACCTTAACTCGTCGAGTACTGTCACTATAGACACAATTATAGAACAATAGGTTGCGGTTACCGGTGACTGCTTGGTGTTTGACAGTTTAATGTAAAAGTAATATTGGATCTTCAATACCTTTACCATGAGGGATTATGCCATAATAATCCTCATCAGAATGAGGATAATATCTTGACTATCTTTCTTCATACCTACATGTTTTTATGAGGATACTGCACTGAAAAACTTTCTAAAATGGAAATTCCTGTAAACACAATATAAAAACTAGCAGCTTTGTCCAATTGGTGTATGTATGTAAATGTATGTACTCATGTACCTTCCGTGCGTCACTGCATGGGTGCCCACTGAAAATCAGTGCTGGGTGACTTGTATGCCTGGCTTTTAATGAGTGGGTGACCCTTTTAGCATAGGCATGTTGTCTGCGTCTCTTATCTAATTCTTCTGTTTTAATTTTTCAACTCTTACTTTTTATTACTTCCATTGTCACACCTTGATTGCCTTTTTATATTTTATTTATGCTGCATCGTGCCTGGTGCTAAATAAATGTTTTCTCTTTCTTTACAAACCAAAGAGTAGGTACATGATTCTTAATTTCTTAACTAACAAAAAACAGATACTAAGTTAAATTATTTTATTCATTTGCTATTTATCAGCATCTCTAATACATACCATCATACACCATTAATAAGAAAAAACATATTCTATTTGACAACTGAATTTATTTTACGATAAACAGATTGTTTACTTACCTATTCTAATCATAAGGATACAAAACTGAAACCAGCTGATAGCACTATAGCTAAATATCGTTTCAGTTTTATATTCTTCAAATTCCGTAATGTAGTTATAGGTAATGATTGATATTAAATACAAAGTAAATAAAAACGAATAACTAAGTACATATAAACTTTGCAAATGCAATAATTAGCTAAAACAACAATAAATATGTTACCTACTGTAATAATGAAAAGTTTATGTCACCATCCAGTATCCTGGGACTACCAAACAATGCCATAAACGTTTTTTTAAGTGAGTGCAATAAATAACAGCATAAATTATTACTTGCACACTTATTTCTCCAAGCCCAGCAAATTCGTCCATGTTACAGGGTCAAATTATTCCAGATTGCTAACATTCAGATTAAGAAACCCATTCAGTAATTTGTGCGTTAGAGACAATAAAATCCGTTCATATATGTCTATATTGAACATTCTCATAAACTTGTGCATTAATTTATGATTTATAAAGGTATAAATATAAGGTTCAGACCCCAGAATTGCATTACTAATCAAATTTCAGTACAGATTTAGTGACAATAACCACAGGATGGATGGCATCTTTTGCCGTCAACGCCGCAACGGCAACCACCAGTGGTATCTCCTTTACCTCCCGGTCCCCAGCGCCGGCCTCGAGTCACCCAACATATTTCCGTTTTACACGCTGAGCATTTCACCCAATCACAGCCCCATTTTTTTGTAATAATGGCACTGCATTCAGGGCACTCAAGAGCTTCCCCTTTGCTGATAAGAGAATTGAGTAGTGTTCGCGTTCCATCATCAACTGCATTTCCATTAGATTTCTCACTTGTTGCTTGCTTAAGTTTAGCGCGATGCTGCTCACAGGTATCGCCTGGATGAATAGCCTTAGAAGGAAATAAAAAGTCATTAGCATGATGCAGGAAGTCCACACTTACTTCAAGTAAACGTGGCTAATTATAAAGACAAGTAGATACGTTACCTGACATGGCACACAGTTTATGCATTTGCACACCGGGCATGGAAAGCGTTGAACTCCCGGTTCGCACAATGCCCAACCTTTACAATCTCGAGTACGACAGTGAAATGCGTTACGAGTTCCGCTTTCTGCAGCAGCCAAACCCCGTGCCAACCAGCGCTCGTAGTCCTCAGTGGACACAAGAGCGCGAATTTCTCGTTCTTGTAACATTCCTCGACAACCCATAGCCGGACAAGGAACGTCTGGTTCTTCGCAATGACGCACTACATCAGACAAACAATCTTTACAAAAAATATGTACGCAATCACGGAGCACTACTCCTTGACCAGGAGGATACTCTTCCATACAAATCCCACAATCGAAGTTTTCTGCGTTAGGAACTACTGCTTGTTGTTCTAATTGCATTAGTTCTGTATAGACATCTCCTGATTTCGTTTGCTGGTTATTTGTTTTGGCCGTAGTGGTGCTGCTGTTTTGTTGGGAGTTTGTTTCCAATTTAGTTTCTGTAAAACCAAAGCAGGCAATTTTAAGTTAAGTTTAATTCAATTACGCTCGTTATTAAACAATTAGAGAACTACTTTTCACGGCAATAAATACATTATTTAAAATTAGTTAACAAGTCTTTGAATACTATTGTTATACTTAGGTAAAATAAAATAGAAAACTGTTGAAGACCGATCCTTTGCTGGCGTTACCGAAATATGAATTAACTTTGTCAGCGACCAAAGTTTAGATTGTTATAGTTTCTCTTTTTTAACAACTACGGTTGCGCGAATTATGGTGCCCCTAGACACCTATTTAGATAAATATAATACATTTAGAGACCTAGGTACCTACATAGGTAGTATGCCTTTAATTAAGATATGAGCCAGTCATGTGATCCAAATCAATTCCAAAATAACACCGAATTTGGTTTCTTTTTCCTAATTCACATACTACCCTCACCAAGCACTGTAGTAGATAGATAGAAGTAAATAGATCAAACATTAAGGAAACAAAAACTAAGTTTTACTCACAGACGTACCTGATTCTACTACACACAAATAAAATGGTGCGCTGAAATCAGGTCCCGCGAGCGATGTTATAGGTGTCCTATCATTAACACACAGAGCACGACCAATAATCCAGCGCTGTAGATTTGGTGCTAGGCCAAGTAATCTCTCGGCTTCGTGGCGAAGGTCTCGTATGCATGCTCGTCGACTTACTCGAAGATGCACAGGACCTCTCGTTGCCTCGCGATCTTCCACCAATACTGCTATTCTAAAATAAAATAGTGTTTAGTTGAAACCAGAAAGCTTGATTTATAATAATGATTAACTTCTTAATAATATAGCTTTGCTAGTCACCTAGATAGTGTACTTCAAAGGCACCTACTTGGCATATCCATAAGTATAATAATAAATAATACTATTTCTAAATCTAGATTGATTTTAGAATAAAAGCAAAGGTATAAAAGGGGCTGTACGGGGTACCCAGTATGAGATACATTATTTCACGTTACAGAATGGCCAATTTGAATTTCTTCATTAACATTAGCAAAAGCCGTGTTTGCCCGCTGTCTCCACAAATAGGCCGACCACTTGAGCTGGTAAACATTCAAAATTTTAAATTTTCATTTGGTGTAATTACGTACATACGTACGTTTGGAAGCCGGTCACTGTCAGATTCAAGACAAATGCAAAATGATCGCTTATTAGCTAAAAGGAGAAACGGCTAGTGTACATGGTTACTTGTATTTGTTATTGCCCCATTGTATACCATGACCACGTTATGCCCAGACCACTTCCCTTATATGTAGGTCTATTTAGGTAATGTCTATTGACTTACGTTATTTTATCTTCATTCGTAATTGGAACAGGAATTTTTCTTATATCTTTTTCTTTCTTTTGTACCACTTCTTCATCTTTTTTCTTTTGAGGTACAAGTAAAGCTTTTGTGGTTTCTGTCTGAGATACCGGCGATGTTAACTTATCTGTTTTATTAGCAGCGGATATGTTGCCAACTGAAACTTTTGGGGGAGATCTTTCTTTAACATTGTTCGACTTGGGTCCTCGTGAGTCCTTTCTGTCATTTATATCATAGTCTTTGTTGGTTGATGTAGATGGCTTAGTCACTGTTGTTGTTTTTAATTCTCCTGTACTTTCCTTTAATTCATTACCGTTTGACGACGTAGAAGGTCGAGATAATATTTGTGATGAAAATGATAGCACTGAACACGACAAACGTAATTGTGCCAGTTTGGCAGCTGCTTCTGCTGCTGCCCGCTCGTCTCCTTGTGCAATAGATTTCTCCAATTGATTAATTAAATCTCTACGTCTAGAATGCTGATCTAGTGCTTCCATACTTTTTACTGCATTTAGGTCTTTTGGGAGCACTGACAACTTAGATATATTTTTATTTTCTTCGGTTTTAATTGACTCTGGAATTTTAGCAGTATCTGTTGATGTATTTGGAAGTGCGGATTTTAAAAATGGCATAGACACCTTTGTACATTTTTCTTTGTGCTTATTTTCGATACTGATATCGGCAGGTATTGCAGGAACTCGAGAGGTGGAAGGGCTAACTGATGCGTGGGTAGACGTCGTTTTAATACCTGTACTTAGAGAACATTTAAATGTGTCTTTAACGTTTTTTAACTGTTTGTTTTCTTTGCTAGTTAAATCTGATTTGGTAAGAACAGAATCCTTGGGAACATACATAGGGTTTAATAGTGATGATATTTTCAGTGGTGTATTCAAATTATTCTTCTCGGAGGCTTGATTTTGTGGTGATCTTTCAGGTTGTTTTACGTTAAAATCAAATACCTTGACTTGTTCTAAATGGTCATTTTTTGTAGCAAGTTTAGCAGCCAAATTCAAATTCTCGTCAACATTTTTCTTATACGCAGATATAACTGGTGCTACTAATGCAGCTTGTGCTGAAACTGGGTTGTTTGATGGGCTTTTTGATTCTAGTGTAGGTTTTATTTCGACGACTCGACTTGACGTGGATGGTTCAGCGACTGATTTCATTTCATCGTGAAATGTTGACCCGACTCGGAGAGTAGGAGTTTCTGTTGAAAACGACTTCTTCCCAAAGCTTTTTGGCTCCGCAGAAGTTTGGTTTTCTGTTTTACTGTTAAAGTCATGTTTTGGTCGTTTAGGAAGCGAGTCTTTCATTTCTTTTAACATTTCTTTAAGTTTTTGTTTATCTTCCGCATCATATTTTCTATTTGGTAATAAGTCATTTCCTGTTTGTGTATAACTGCTTGAAGCCTTGGCTAGTGTTGTTTTGTTATCTCCACAGACTTCAGAAGGTTGAGATTTTGGTTTGGAGACGCAATAAGTACAAGTAACTATTGAAGAGTTATATCTTCTGAAACAACGAGTACAGATCCATGCATCACTTTGTTTAGAGCTATGTGCATTGAACTCGCCAAAAGTAGAGTTATTATTTTGTTCATTGGCTTTTAATTTACATGTTTCAATTAATTCAGCTGCCTGTTTATCTAATTCACTGATACTCGGAAGTAATTTTACAGCGGATGTATCTATATATGAATTTCTCTTTTTACCGTCAAAAATTTGCTTCAAGAAACTTTTTTCGGGTTTAACTTTTGAATCTTTAGTACTTGCATCTTTTTTAATATATTTTTCAGATTTGCACCCCATCATAACATCACTATTCTTTGTTTTGGTTTTATCTTCATATGTGTTAGAATGCATTTGAACTGTATCAATGTTTACGTGAACTTCGTTGAAAATGTTCTTGTTCTTTTCTAACACTCTTATAGGTGGTTGCGGAGCAGGTCGTTTTCTACTGTGCCGGCGTGGCAAAGATGCTGAAGGGCCAGCAGATGTTGCAGGAGGTAGGGGAGCCCGTCTCTTGCCGGGAACGTGCGCTAGCCGACGTTGATAGCACTCACTTGTAGCTCTTCTCTCGCGGTCCCATCTAGAACCAGACTCAGCGATCGTTCTTCGTGCTGGTGGTAAGCTAAAAGCGTCGTAACCGCAACTTCCCTCACTCTTAAATAGTCCGTATTTACGGTGTAATGTTATATCACGATCGTGATGACGTCGGATGTTTCTATCGTGCACTCTTTTTTTGTACGAGTCTGTTGGAGGTCCGGGCGGCGGTACTACGAGGGGTCCTTTCGCTGGATGATAGCGAGCTGGTGTCAGGAAAGCAAAGCTTGCCACCGTTCTGTCAGAACCGGCGCTGGAGAGGCTCTCGCTGGAAGCAGATCGATCGTCACGACGCAGCCAGGAGAATAGCGTCCATAAGCCCGTAGATAAAGGACGAGGGCGAGCCTCTACCTCCACGTCGTTGTTCATCACCCCTGAAATTTAATGAAAATAGGAATAAATTCTAATGAAAACTAGAGCAGTCGTAAAAGGGCAATCTATTTAAACAGTGTTATAGAATTAAGTAATGCTAACTTCATAAGATTGATTTGAATTAGAGATAGGTAGGTACTTATATTTACAGATAATAAATCTTTGTTTGCATATATTGTTTACATACCCACTTAAACAACAGGGAAAGCGTAAACTAAACGACATCTAATAAAGCATAAATAACTAGGTAGGTACATATTAATGTGGAATACATCTTGCTGCAGTAGGTACCTACTTCTATTTTTTACTCAAGATTATTGGGATTTTTAATGTAAGTAAGGTGACAATGGCTATAATTTATATTACAAAGGTGTGTACTTACCACAAACTTATATGTTTATAATTATTCCACATTTACCATTTTAATATTTTGGCACTCTAATATGCACACTAACAAACTGTTCTATCTAAGCGGGGACACTGGTCGGTCACTCGATGAGATAGGTTAACTATGCGTCAACACTAATTGGATACAGGAGCAGGGTACTTACGTCGTCGTGGTGATTCAAATCGGGGTAACAAGCTTCGAATCTAGAAACTAGAACGTATTAACCTCATTTCAGCATTTTATCGTAAAACTGTAAAATTAATCACTTGATCCCATTTTTGTAAAAATATCCCATAGGCATCTGGATTACCTATGAGACAAATGAAGATATAATTATATTGAAGTAAGTAAATCGATCGTTGATTTATATAGAGTACGCGGATAAACAGTGAGCGCGCTCACTTCTGGATTGTGAACAAAGCGAGGTCGCGCTCGGGCACTGGCGATTAGTTGCGACTGCGCCGCACTCCGCCCGCCCAGCTATATTTAGAGGAACTTCGCGACTTCGCTTTTGCTATTTTCATTTCATTCTTACACTGAAGGTGCTCCGACCTCATCACTTCTTTAAATTCAAATTCAAACTTCCTGCCATTATTTTAACATGTCTACAGACACAATTTAGGCGCGTTATATCATTCGTTAATAGGTTAAATCAATTTAGGTCATGACCCGCAATAAATTATAAACTATGTAGCTTCTTCGGTAGGTATCTATAGGTATACATACCTACTATATATATATTAAGGTACGTACTCTTATCCACATACACAAATACTATAGGTAGGTATACTAAAATCCCACGTAGCACTCAGTTTATATTCATACACAACTTCTGAATTTTTATAGAGACAAAGTATGTTATGGTCGTTGCTAGTAATCTGTCATTAGGTAGGCTCCATTAAAATTTTTGCATATTAATAAATTAAAAGAAATAGCATCAATCGTAAATATTATACGTTTATAAACTACGTTGAAATCGAATACATCCCCCTCTTTTTTTGGATGTCAGTTAATTAATATAGGAAAACATCCTAAGTGTATCAAACACTTTTCTGAAAACCGCATAAAATCGATTCTGCCCATCACGAGATAATCGCGCACAAACTTACATACATTCAGGTCACACTGAGATCTTCCTTCTTTTCTTGAAGTCGTTTAAATAGGATTTACAAAGCTATGTCACGTAGGGAATACTTAACATGGAAACAGATGTTAGAAAACAACGAACTAAGTTATATTTATTGAACTAATAAAATGATAGCCGACAATCTAGTCTACGGTATTTAATTTTATTGACTCATTCGTTCAGGCGTTGCCTTCGCTTTTGCCGAGTGGTGTTCCGCAGAGCTGTGGATGACTAACAAAGAAGCTGCCACACGCGCAGTCAGCTCCGCTTGATTTAACTCGTGAGCCCACGGGACGCGCCCCCACCGCATTAACTACAACAAAAATAAAAAACTATGTTACCTACCTAAAATACATAGGTTAAAGTATTTTGAATAATATAACCTACCCAACAATGTTCTTTCTCAACTACATACATTACATGCATGCATACAAATGTAATGTGATATATAAATAATAAATGTTTTGTTTCTTTGTCAGTAACAATACTTTTCTATGACATTTTTATGAAATTCAAATAACTAACTTAATGTCATCATAATGTTTTTGCGTCAAACGGCTAACTTATTTCTAAAAAAATACTTAGCTAGGAAAATACATAAAAATAATATTCATAAAAGTGTGATTATTATTTGAATATTTTGGTGTAAGTATTGAAAAGTGGAAATATTTTTTTATTGGGTAACTAGCGACCCGCCCCGGCTTCGCACGGGTGCAATATGCATGTATTATACATACAAACCTTCCTTAAGAATCACTCTATCTATTAAAAAAAACCGCATCAAAATCCATTGCGTAGTTTTAAAGATCTAAGCATACATACGGACATACAGCGAAAGCGACTTTGTTTTATACTATGTATTGAGTATTGATTAAAACCCAATTTATCAATTCACGATCCATGCTCCTATGTACCTATTAACGAACAGGTAGACAAGTACCGTCCGGAGGTTATACGCCGGGGTCGTGCGGTCCATGGCCCTCTACGGCGCCCCTGTTTGAGCGCCTAACCTGTTGCGGCGTCCCGCTCGGACGCTGCTCATGGCACAGAGGGTCATGGCGATCCGAATGATCCGCGGATACCGCACGATCTCTGGGGAGTCGGCGAACCTCCTTGCCGGATTACCGCCGTGGGATCTGGAGGCGAAGGTGCTCGCGCGCGTGCACAGCATGCGCGCGGAGGCACGTCGCCGGGGCGAAACTCCGCTGCCGCGCCAGATAAGTGCGTGGCGGGATGAGCTCCGGCGCGATCTCATGGCGGAATGGCAGCAACGACTGTCGCAACCGAGGGCTGGGCTCGCTGCCATCGCAGCGGTAAGTCCCCTCTTTGAGGAGTGGCTTGAGAGACGCTACGGCGTCCTCACCTACCGCCTGACGCAGGTCCTCACCGGACATGGAAGTTTCGGGAGGTACCTGTGTCTGATGGGGCGGGAGGAAACGCCCGGGTGTCATCACTGCGAGGACCGCCCTGAGGACACGGTGGAACACACGGTGGGAGAATGCCCTTCGTGGGCTGAGCACCGCCGTGTCCTCAGGGAAGTGATCGGCGATGGCGACCTCTCGCGTCCGGGCCTAGTGCAGGCCATGATGCGGAGCGAGGGGGATTGGGATGCCGTCTCCTCCTTTTGCGAAGCAGTCATGCTAGCTAAGGAGGAGGCGGGACGCGTGAGGCAGCGAAGCGCTGCCTCCTCGCAACCCAGCCATCGCGAAGGACACACCGGGCGTCGGGGATCGCGGGACGATCTCCGGCCACCGTAAGCGCGGGCCTGCGGACGGCGAGCATGGGTGGCTCCCCGTCCGACCAGAAACAGACCCGAGCGTACGGCGCGTCGCGTTCCGCGCGCGCCTCAAAGAGCCATCAGACCACCACAGATGGGGCCCAATAGGGCCGATGCCGATTCGGAGTCGCGGAGAACCTAACGGGTAACCGGGGCTCCGGCTCGACGTGCAGGAGAAGGAACGGGGTGGTTTTTAGTCAGTAAGAGTCTGACACTCCCTCCCGCCTCACCCAGGCGGGAGAAGTCATTCGATGATTTTCCCCCCTAAAAAAAAAAAAAAGACAAGTACCGTCGACGCGGTCTATAGGTTCTTTGATATTTGTGCGATGTTTATTAGATTTTTTTTAATTAAAATCTTTATAACAAGCTTTTATGCTGCTCAACATTCATGGTCATTAAAATTATACGTGTACAGCTGAATTGGTTCCACTTCACACACATACCAGTAACTACATACATAAATACATAAGTAAATAGCAAGTTAGATAAAAACTGACTGACTGACTTAAAATAAGACATTATAGGTACTTTCAAGTTTCAATAAATAAACAAAACAAACCTGATATTCTTCTTCTAGGCGAGCCAAAAGGACTGCTTCCTTTGGATCGAGGCGTCGCTCTACACAAGCCAGCATCAGCAAAGGTGATTTCAAAGCTTCCACGCCAAATGACATTGCTGTTTGAGAAAAACAAATTACTACATTATGTTACAAAATACAAGTAAATATAGAATACATGGTAAGTAAGTATTAAATGTGGTTGTGTGACTGAGCGGGGAGGAGGGAGTACAGACGGATTGTGTGAGGAATGATAAACCAATTTCACCCGAGCGAAATAAATATTGATGGTGACATTTTATCAGTTAGGTATGTATCTAAAAACCTGTTGCCCTTACACAAGTATTTTTCCTGTAACTGAAAAATGCAATTTTACGTACACAAAGAATTGTTTCTTGCAGGTATAGTAGATACTTTGCACAGCTATATTATAGCATGGCTACATATAGTATGTATGAAAATTTCAGATTTTTTTGTTAATTAAGTGTTATAATGGACAAACATATTTTTAGTCCCATTTTCTCTAAGTTAATGTAATACGAAATATAAAAAAATAACAAAAAATGATAATTTTACATCTTATTAGGAGTTGTATTACTAGCGGTTTACAATAAAACAAATCATCAAATGTAGGTATGTTATGTGTTATGGGTCATTGACACTATAATAATAAATCCTAATGTTATGGCCAATGGCTTAATCCCTAACAGCCTCGATAACCACCTTAGGAGGCTGGCGTTAGGCGGTTGGGTCGAAGGCTTGATATAGAAGTAGCAAGGGCAAGAAGGCAGTCCTCTTTGAAATGGTGCGCATCGTGAGGAGGTTACTGTCTCTGGAGGTCTAACCACCTGTAACGTGGACCATGCTCCCACTACTTGTTGGCTCCTATTTTTATATATTACTTTTTTGCAAATAGTACTAAGTGTCATTTGGCATTCTATTGTGTCTGCCTACCACAATGGCAGATAGGCGTGACAATATCGATATTACTTGTTATGTATGTATTTCTGTCATAAAATTAATCTATTAGAGATTACATACCAGTTAGTGCAGGGAAGTCATATGACAAAAAGTATTTAGCTAAAACTGCTCTAGTGTTGGCTGTTACAGGTGGCGGGTCAAGACCTTTAGATACCTCTTGGACCACATCAAATCTTTCCTGGAACCAATCTATTATAGGTCCCCATTTTCTTTCTTGTAATTTTCGTAACTCTTCTTCTTCCTAAAACAGTTACAATAAATAACATACAAATAAAGTGTGATATCTAAAGAAACTTATAGATAAAAAATACAACTATACAAATTAACTGCAAATGTGTATAACAATGATGTTGAGAGGGTCCTCAACACTTCTAGAGCAAAATCCCAGGGACCCCAGACCTTATTAATTTTCTGATTTTATTTTTTTTTTTTATTTTTTTTTTATTTTAAAAACGTTGCCCCAAGCTAGGATTACCTCCTGTGTCGTGGGTGCGTTTACAAACATATAAGTTCACATACACATGACACCCAGACCCGAAACAACAATTTGTGGATCGCACAAAGTGTTGTTCCGTGCGGGAATCGAACCCGTGACACGTTGCACGGCAGCCGGTTGCCCAGCCACCGCACCAACCGTGCAGTCATGATGGACAAAACATAATTATGTATAAATGATAAGTTAGTATTAGTGTCTACAGTGAATATAATTAAACTGTATACATACCTGCCCATTCATAGCCCATTCATAGCTTCACATTCATACTGATGGCCAATTCTCAGGTACTAAGTGTACTTATAGTTGGAGGTCTCCTTATAGAGGAGGAGTCAATAGGTAAGTTCTTGGGTCCCTGGGATCGTGGACTTTATCATATAATTTTATAAAAAAAATAATAATTAGATAAAATTCATTAACAATTACTTACATCAGAATAAAATAGAAGAGTATCTGTAGAAAAGTATTCTAAAAAGTAAATTGCTATGTCATGTGGTGTTAACTTTCCAGGATTGTCTAGTGCAGTGTTGCATAGTGAAGTCTAAAAAAAAACAATATTTAATGAGAAACTGCATTACAATCATTTTAATTATAACCAATTAATTTAGACTTTTTAAAAATATAAGATAATATTTTAACATTACATACAAACTTTGGCTCAATTATAATCCAATTAAATAAATACAAAAATAAAATATCATGAGCAGAATATTAACTTGATTGTGTACAAACCAGGTGCATGGTTGGTTGTGTGATTACTTCAGTTTGGGCATCCCATTCTGCTGCAATAGCTCGAGCTAGAGGTTCACTATTTACCATCAACACTTGGCCATTAGGAGTTTTCAGTCGTCGGTGGTCTAAAGTAACTTCCCATTTCTTTTCGCTTTGAATTACTCCAGTACCTCTATAAAATCTCTTTCGTGTTGCTGTAATTATGAACATATTTCACAAACTAAATAGAATTGTGTCAAAAATAGTTTCTCTCAAGTCATGTTAGGGTGATCTACAACTTGAAAGAAAAACTATATGCTTACCATAATTTTGATATCTCAAAAACCTAGGGCAATTGCTTCTCAACAAACCGGCGAAAGCAGCAGGTAAGGGTAACATTATTAAATTCTCACTCTATACTTCTATAGCCAGAGTACCTACTTTGAGTCAAGTGAGCCTGAGTACCATACATACATCGCATCAAATCAACACGTAGCTATAACCCTAGCACCATACAGAACACTCAGGTTTTTACAATAATAATTATCTTATTGTACTCTGCATTACATGGATTTCATTTTATGTCAAGATTTTAATTTGTATGTATTTTTGGTTAGGTATACTTTATACTTCAATATTCTGACAGATGACACTGACAGATCGAGATGAGGTCAATCGTGGCGATGGAAAAAATTGGCTGACAGTGTCACACAATCTGACACTGACGTATTATGTAAGCCAGAAAATATTACTTTTCAAGTATGCCCTTTGTAATAGACAGAAAAAAGATGTGATTTTTCTGGATTTTTCGGGTAAATCAACCAAAATATTATTAAAAATTATTATGTCTACATAATAGTATAAATACTCTTTTTAGTATTTATCCAAAAATCGGCCATCTCTAGTTACGCCACGATGAATGAGTTTTGAGTTTTCGTGGACAATTGGACATTTTATACGCTATACGCTACGTCCATGCGAGTTTTATTTCTCCTGAAGTTTCTTACTGTTGCATTCTCATTTCTCATTCGCTTTGGCCCACTATGTGATATAAATTTCCTAATCGATTTCGATCATGGTGGCAAGTGTAACTAAACTAGCCCACTATGCAGGAGAGATATTGCATTATCTCTTCCCTCTGTCTCTAAACTCGAAGGGACGGCCGGCGGTCAGACACTCCCGATCTTCTTGACTCCGGGCTAATAATGACCATTTTATTACTATTATTTAATTAATTCAGGCAGGCAGTCCACACAACTGATACTTGCCTGGATCGTATGTTTCTATTATTTTCTATGTACTTTACTCAGAAACTTATCACCTTTTGTCTAACGCGAGAACAACCCAACCACTGTCCCAACCATGTCATGGTTGGGACAACCATCACTATCAGTACTTACTACCATAATTTGTTTGTAGTATAAAATTATGACAAAAAGTACTAGTTAGTGTGACTGCAAAGATCAAATTCTTATCGGAATATTGTTAGAAATAATATTTGATATTTGGACCTCCCCATTTTAACTAACTAAAATCACAATACTTACAGACTACCGTAAATAATCTTATTTAAAACAGTAAAGACACAAACGAATGTTTGTTACGTCTACGTCCTTGATGTGGATCTTAAAACTTGTTTTCATGCTAAATATGTTTCATCAACAATTAGTATTTAGTTTTATTCTAATCGGATTTTAGTTAGTCTTTAGTTTGTGTTTGTAATAGTCTATGCGTAATATGACGTGACGTGATCTTGCCTTCCGCCATTGTATAGGTAATCGAAGTTTGTTGTGTACTTAATCAAGAATAAATTCCCTAGTTATCGTACTATTGAGATTTATTCTTTTTGGAAACGATTCACTATCGAGAAATATTGTGCATCCTAGTTTTGTGTATAATTGTGACCATGTCTTCTATGGATATTGATCTGTGATTTGTTGGTGTTTACTATTCATTTTTGTGGGACAACAAGTGAAGTGACGCGATCTCCTTGTGCTAAGGCAAAACAAGCTATAAATAATTTGCTACAAACGGTTCGGCGATTTGGTAAATCTATTTTTTCTTCTTATTTGTGATGTTCCCGCATTCCACCAGAGCGGAAGAAGAACAGAAGACGAAACTGATTCCGAGTGTAAATCTGCTACACTCTAAGAGAAAAGGAATATTCATACACCCCTCTGCTATGTACAGAAATAGTCTTCCGTGCTGCAGTATTATACAGGCACCGTTTATAACAATAAATTTGAGTGGGTAATTAGCAAGAAATATAAAAGTACAGAAAATGAAACTTTTGGAGAGTGGCCGCTTAGAGGCATTGAGCAGAGCACTCTCTATTTTGAATGGGGATAGTGCCGTACAGGGCCGTGTGGAAAGCTATAGCTGCAAGATGGCTGGTGCTGAGAAGTCGTTTTATAAACGGTTCACTGCAACTGGAGAAACTACTCTGGAAGCATTGTCACCACCAGAGAGTTTTATGTACAGGTATAATATAATCGGAAATTTTATAATTGTACTGAAATTGATAAATTGTTATTTGTAAGTCTTTATTTTATTTATTGTTTATCTTCAGCCGAAGCTTGTCTGGTGATGAAGATGGTGTTCTCTGTGACACCATATCTCGTAAAACATTGTTTTACTTAATTGCGACACTGAATGCTGCCTTTCCAGATTATGATTTTTCAATGGCTAAGGTGAGCTCAAAAATTTTAATGCATACTAAATTTGGTCCCTTAATTTCTTGAATGATGTTGCAAAGATGTTTGTTAAAGCTATTAAGTATGTGTCTATTATTTTACTTTAAATATTCTTATAAGTTTCGTTTTTTTGTTAGATAAAAACATTTTGTGGGTTAAACTGTCAAACACCAAGCTGTCACCGATGACCGCAACCTATTGTTCTTTAATTGTGTCTAGACTCAACGAGTTAAATTGACAATTGTATACCATAATAATTACAGGTCCTAATAAGATTTGTAAAAGTCTTAAAACAAGAACAACTTTATTTTGAACTGGGGTAATGTTTAAAAAGAAATCCAAACCAACATATATTTGCTATATTTTCTTGTATTGACACATTGAATGGATCTGCAAATTGATTTCAAGTCAAATTGTAATTTATAGGTACTTACCACCCTTGGGTGGGCGACAATAAAATAAACAGAATTTGGTTGTATTACAGAGCAGTGAATTCAGTGCAGAGCCCTCACTCAGTTGGGTGCAAGGAGCAGTGGATGCTTCCTTGTCTGCAGTGGGTGGTGTGCGCTGGCGGCAACTGAGACCATCATTGTGGACTGCCGTTGATGAGGAGGTGGTGTTGTCAGAGTGTCGCATATATAGCTACAACCCAGACCTTGCCAGTGATCCATTTGGTGAGCCTGGTTGTCTGTGGGCATTTAACTACTTCTTTTATAACAGAAGATTAAAACGGATTGTCTTTTTCACTTGTAGAGCTATGAGGTAAGTGGATATTTTTACAATACAATTGATATTATGATATATCTACTATACTTGTAATTACTTTATTAACCTTTCGTGTGTCTAAAACGCGGATCCACATGAGACACAATATATTTTCTTTTGTCTCATATCGTGGTATTCAAATGGTTAAAATCCATTGAAATTTGGTTCTTCTATCTTTTCAGCCCTGTGTGTGCTGTTGACTCAGGAGTCGATTTTGCCATGGATGAAGATGATGAATACAATTAAAATGTAAAATGTCAACTTCCTTTTTCGGAACAAGATTTTTGGGGATTGTAATAATCTTGTGGTAAATGCTTTAAAACAAAGTATTTGACTGATCTGCTGGTCGAGGGATCACCAGCACAACTGCCAAGCATGTAGTTTCAAGATGGATACACAAATTGATATTTAAACTGTCAAACACCAAGCGGTCACCGGTGACCACAACCTATTGTTCTTTAATTGTGTCTATATTGACGGTACTCGACGAGTTAATAATGAATTTTCCAAATTCGAATACTGTGTAGTTTTCCTCTGTGTTTGGCAGTAGGATTGCCTATTTTAAATAGGACTCCATTCCAAGCTAAAATATCATTTGAGGAATGAAGTTATGTTTTTTTTTCTCTTTGTATTATTGCACCAGTATAGCTTTTTATCTGTGTTATTGATAAGTATTCACACATCTCTGAAATTAAAAATCACCCAACTGATGTTTATGGTCATTCAGAAATCAACTATCAGTACACGTTTTTTCATAACATAATTAAGTTGTTGAGAATAAAATTTCATTTCTTCATCTTATCCATAATGCATTTATACCTATGATTAAATTAATAAAGTTTTTTTATACAAGTACTGAAAGCATCTAAAACCCCATTCATCTGAGTTACTGTTTATTCTATGTATAATGGCGGCGCTCTTGGCTGTAGAGCTCTTTATACTAAGGTAGATACCCTGGTCACAGGTTTTTAGGCCACACATGTTTTATTTAATTACTATAATTTTTAAAGGTATGTAATGGTGATTAATTTTATTTTAATATAAGCTTTGTTCTGCTTTATTATTACATTCATTATAATATGGAGGATAAGTAGACTGCTCAAAATATAGATAAAGATTTATTCACCTTGCATTTCAATATGTCAACGCAGTGTGACTGTATCAAACAGTTCTTTCCCAGTGAAATAGACTCCATGAAACTGATTATAGAAACAAGAAAACAACACTAGTGACTGTATTGTTGAAAGTTTGACAACGACAATGTCCGCCTAGTTTTCATATCTCTTATTCCTCCATGTCTGCACTTTATAATATCCAGTCCGCATGTATAGTATAGACTTGGGTCTAGTATTCTAGAAATGTACATCCTAAAGTTTGACAAATAAAATAAATTCCAAAAATCTAGAATCACTAGCAGCAAAATAGAGATGTTGAGGATGAGGATTACAATTTCTTTTAATTTATAAAATCACATAATCATAAGTATGTAAAGGATATTAGTTATTCTGTGAATTACTTTGTATCTAAAACCAAGTTTTGTTGATTTGCTGCAACTTTGTTTTGCACATTGACAATATTGACATAAGTACCTACCAAGTAACTCCTTTTTTTTAAATATTCTCTTCTAGAAAGTATTATTCACCGCTTATCTTAATTTTATTTTGAAGCAGATCCGAATTTTCTTGTCGCTAATGTAATTTTAAAATACATAATTAATATTCTGTTCTATATCTTCAAACCGCGGTGAGAGGGGGTGCGAGACTGATTGTTTGACATATTATTATGTCGCTTATACTCTCTGCCTCTTCCCAAACCGCCATTTAATCTAATTGAACTATTTCATTTATTATTGTGCCGTAGTCCCAATATGAATTTAGGACTGCGACACAAAATAATGTAATTGTTCATTTTAGTATATTGTAACAGGTAATTTTAATAATAGCATTTCTGTAGTATCTGAAAGGTGTGGAAATTTCTTACAGAAACTTGTATTGTTTGGTAAAATCAGATTTAATTTGGATTGAAAAAATAACACTTCTATCAATCTGTAGTACCTGTAAATTAGTAATAATGTTAGAGAAAATTTTAATTAATGTTTTAAAATAGCAAGACCCTGTTCTGACTTACATTGTAATATCTATTTAAGATCAATCACAATAAAAATCTCTGACAAAAAACCGAAATTAATTGTACTTCCTAAATGTGACAACATCACAAGTTTATTAACTTATTACCCGTATTATATGAGCTTATTAAAGTTCCGTACCCCGAGGGTAAAAATGGGAACCTTATTATTAAGACCTCACTTATCATCTGTCTGTCACCTGACTGTATCTCTTGAATAACAACAGCAACAGAAATGTTGCCGCTATAAAACAAAATATATTAAAAATAAAATGAATTTAAGGGTTTTTCTGTAAGGGTAATCCCATCCCATCATTTATTGACTAAATGAATAAATGAAGGTGTTGGGCCTTTTTTGTTTAATAGCAGGTTTAAATGCTCCTTGCTAAAGAACTGTGTATCACTGTTATGTCAATTATTATTTTATTCGACTTACTCACGTAATTACTCGACGAGGAAATCGACTAGTTTCAAGCCATGCTAGAGGTTCATATTTATGAGCAGCAATCCAACCGGACGCGGCGACTGTCGCGCCGCTAGTCGAGTTCCTCGTCAAATAATAACGTGAGTAAGCTGAAAACCACTACTATGTCCTTTGTATCGAATAATGCAATACTACAATATTTTATTTGCAACACATTAGAGATATTAAGAATTAAAAACAACCCTTTTATGTTATTCTTTTTACCCTTTGAATCTATCTTTAGAAACTAAGTGGCGACGACAAATCGCGAAAGGAAAGTACAGTTTTTTTTTTTCAGAAAATATAATAAACAATCAAAACATAATAAACTTTATCGAACTATACAACAGAGAAATGTGATTTAAAATAAAATGATACCAATCGTATCGTTAATTAATATACATCTAAGAGCATATGTATAAATATGTACAGGTAAATATTTACTAGTAGATTTAGCGCTTGTCTGGCGTGGGCGGCGGCGTGGGCTCGGGCTCGGGCTGCGGCGCGGCGGGCGGCGCATCCCTCAGCTTGGCGCGCGGCCGCCACGCGTCCAGCAGCGCCTCCACGCGGTCCTCCGTGGGCCCCCAGCGCGCGAACCCCGCCGCGTTCTGCAGCCACACCACCACCGTGCCGCTGCCCCATCTGAAGTACACCTCGTTCCTGTGACATGTCATGTGTTACGTACGCTAGCCTAGATACCACCCCCTGATTCAAAACCAGTAACCACTTTGATTGTACATACTAATTACTTACATAATACTAGAACCATGGAGCTATTTCTAAAAACATCTGGACTCGCAAATTACGAAATATGTGTGAACCGACAGAATAACGGCCGAAATTAATAACCTATTTACGAAATATTTGGAAAGATTTAAATTATTCACCGAAACTTCTTAGATTCAATCGATCGATCCATCGAGATCGACTACAATAAATTGATCTCGATCCAAACATTTTAAATTGAGACGAGTTATTAATTTCAGCCGTAAGTGAACATTAATAACGATAAAAAGTAGTTCGAAAAAAGATAGGTTGATAGTGCATTTTCACTTTTCTTAGTTCCTCTTGCCTCCAGTAAAAACAATGTTCCCAAATATTTTTTATTTTTTCAAGTTACCAATTTTACCCAATTTTACTCCCTTGAAAAAGTGAATGTTTTGTTTTACACTTCACGAACACAATTTGATATTCATTATAACATGCATATTATTATCTGGAACAACATACCTAGTGGGTCACAGAAAATTGTTCCGTCTAGTAATCGAACCCATGAGTCCATGACACACTACAACAATCAGCTGCCAAGCCACTGCGCCAACCGCGCAGTCGAATTAACATTTACACTTAACTGAGCTTAAACATTGTGAAAATCAGGTCATAAAGTCGTTCACTTACTGTCAGTAATCACGTAACACTATTTGTCAAATAAACTTCTGGGGAAAATAGCAAACTACCTACACCTATTATGAAATGGTTGTGAATTTGTGATGTTCCAAAATAATATTCAGAAATTAGTGAAATGGGCATACTGTTTACTTATTTCTGAATAAATAGCTAATATGGGCAATAATGTTTCATGAATGATAATGAACAGTATTAGGATAAAATTTACAATTACTGTTACGTAATAATAAAACATACTAATTACAAGTCGTTTGTCTTCGCTTCTCAGTGAAAGTCCGGTTCATTGGAATATTTTCGTAATCTCACGTACGTAACAAAAATGAAGTAAAAACCTGTAATTATCATAACATAACATCACGCCTTTTATTCCCGAAGGGGTAGGCAGAGGTGAACATTACGGCATTTAATGCCACTGTACAATGAACACCACTTTTCACTATTTATGTTATGAGTCCCGTGTAATAGAGGGGTGAGCCTATTGCCATATACCGGGCACATTTCCAGACTCCGTGCTACTACTGAGGTTTTTACAAACCCAGTAATACTTTGCCTGACCCGGGAATCGAACCCGAGACCCCTTGCCCGGCAGTCGCACTTGCAACCACTCGGTCAATGAGGCAGTCTGAACCTGTAATTAACAGTGTAACAATTTAAGTGCTTCAACACTTATTTGTTATTTTGGAATTATTTTGCAATAGTCTAAACTTTCATTGCTGATAAGTACATAAAGGTTTTAGTTAGTCCATTCTCTACCCCTTGAGATGTCACGAACTTCAAACTAGTCAGTATTCAATAATCCAAATCGGATATAAAAATTCTATCGGGTCAATTCTATTACTAAGTGAGAGACTAAAAATACAGAGCGGGCAACTTCTATAAAGATAACAATTTTCACGGTTGTATCTGTTCTACCTCTAAGTCTAGAATAATAGTTTAGGGCACCCCGACATATTGTTTAGTTAGGTTAGGTACGATAAAACTGTGACCCTCAACGCCGTCATTTTACTTAGCCGCCCATGAAAAAGTAATTGATTTTTTTTTATTCCGTACACTAGCTGTTCCCCGTGATTTCGTCCGCGTATGATAATGACTTCTGGCAAATTTTGGATTTTCTTATTAGTATTTTCCGAGGTTAATTCCAATGGTATATGGAACAAATCTCACCAGCATCGATTATAATTATATTTATTGTGAAATGTTGTTCATTCAGGTGATTTAAAAAAATAAACAAACCCACAGTTATTTTACCCGTATAGTACCCATTCCGAGTTTTCAGTGATTAAAACTCCATTTGAATTCCAATCAAATAGGTACAGCGGTTGAAAACTCTCAGGCGTCATTTTCAGAGTTTCAGACTATTGTCGTCGTCGTACGTCATTGTACCGAATTCAACTCAAATAAGTTCAATGGTTTAAAAAAAAAGGAGACCCAGGAGATTCACGCTGTTCCTGTCCCGTGGGATTTCCGAGATAGACCGTACGATACGTCCTTTCCAGTGCTTTAGCAAAATTGTGGGCAGAAGTTAGGCCATGAATAAAACTTCAATTAATTTAATTCATATTTCTCCCTTAAAATCCCTGTTTCTGATGCAGCTAAATATTAATACCTATTGTCGCGGAGAACCTAACGGGTAACCTGGGCTCCGGCTCGACGTGCAGGAGAAGGAACGGGGTGGTTTTTAGTCAGTAAGAGTCTGACACTCCCTCCCGCCTCACCCAGGCGGGAGCAGTCATTCGATGATTTTCCCCCCTTAAAAAAAAAAAATACCTATTAGTCCTTGAAAACAGTTTTCTATTCGTAGTCAAAGGCTTAATTAAGCAATATAAAGATATTTTTGGTAGTTTTTTCGCACATTGTGATACGTATTATCTAAATTTTCACATGGTTCCCTTTTTTATCTTAAACTGTCAAACACCAAGCGGTCGCCGGTGACCGCAACCTATTGTTCTATAATTGTGTCTGCAAAACCGGTACTCGACGAGTTAATAAATATAACCTATGTTCATCATCGATAATGTAGGATTCCAACGGTATTTTTTTTTTTTTTTTTTTGAGGTTGGAAAGTCATCCAATGACTTCTCCCGCCCGGGTAAGGCAAGAGGGAGTGTCAAACTCTTACTGACTAAAAACCACCCCGTTCCTACTCCTGCACTTTGAGCCGGGGCCCCGGCAACCCGTTAAGTCTTCCACGGGTTGCGGTTGGGCCCCATCTGTGGTGGTCTGACGACGACGCGACGCGCCGTACGCTCAGGCCTGGTTCTGGTCGGGCGGCGAGTCAACCGTGCTCGCCGTCCGCAGGCCCGTGCTTACGGTGGCCGGAGATCGTCTCGCGATCCCCGAGGCCCGGTGTGTCCCTCGCGACGGCCGGGGCGTGGGGAGGTTCGTTACCTCACGCACTCCGCCTCCTCCTTAGCTAGCATGACTGCTTCAGAAGGAGGAGACGGCATCCCAGTCCTCCTCGCTCCGTACCATGGTCTGAGCCAGAGCCGGACGCGCGAGAGGTCGCCGTCGCCGATCACATCCCTGAGGACACGGCGGTGCTCAGCCCACGCAGGTCACACCGCCATCATATGCTCCACCGTGTCCTCTGGGCGATCCTCGCAGTGATGACAACCGGGCGTTTCCTCCCCGCCCAATCCGAAACAGGAACCTACCGATACTTCCGTGTCCGGCAAGGACCTGCGTCAGGCGGTAGGTGAGGACGCCGTAGCGTCTCTCAAGCCACTCCTCAAAGAGGGGACTTACCGCTGTAATGACAGCGAGCCCAGCCCTTGGTTGCGACGGTCGTTGCTGCCATTCCGCCATGAGATCACGCCGGAACTCATCCCGCCACGCACTAATCTGGCGCGGCAGCGGAGTTTCGCCCTGGCGACGTGTTCTCCGCGTCGCGAACAAAACACGCGCGCGAGCACCTTCGCCTCCAGATCCCACGGCGGTAATCCGGCAAGGAGGTTCGCCGCCTCTCCAGAGATCGTGCGATATCCGCGGATCAATCAGATCGCTATGAGTCTCTGAAGGCTCACACACAGTGCCGGCGGCAGGGCCGCCGGGTAAGCCGCCGGCCAAGCCGCCGTGCACCCGGCGGCATACAAAGCCGCCAGCTTTCCCGCACAAAGGAGCCCCCGGCGAGTAAAACATTTTCAGTTCATTAGCGTTCTATGTGACTGTCACAACCGGAATGATGCTTGACGGCTTTGTGCGGCTTGTGCCTTGTATTGCCGGCGGCATAGCCGCCCGGCATGAAACCGGCGGCGTTGCCGCCGGTTTCATGCCGCCGTTGCGTGTAGTAGCCTTCAGATGTGAGCAGCGCCCGAGTGGGCCGCCGCATCAAATTAGGCGCCCACACAGGGGCACCGTAGAGGTCCATGGACCGCACGACCCCCGCATACCACCTCCGACAGGAGGCGTTTGGCCCCTCGAGGTTCGGTAGGAGGCGCTTAAGTGCCGCTCTCGCCCGATCCAACTTAGGAGCCAAACGTCCAAAGTGCTCCACGAAGTTCCACCGACTGTCGATGACGAGTCCTAGGTATTTCATCGACATGTTTATATTACCCCTGGGAGTAGTGTTTTTTTATTACATTTGATGGGCCGACGTTTGGCCACTATCTCGCCTGGTGGTAAACGATGATGCGGCCTACGATGGAGCACGTCTGTCTATAAGCACCTATTCACTCGGGTTTTGAAAACACCCAGGTTTATAACCCTTTAGGAAACACAGACTCTGGCAAAGAATTCAACTCCATAGCAGTACGCACAAGGAAGCTTGATGCGAAGCGCTTCGTGCGGGTAGGATATCCACCATGACCATGATAGTGTAAACTATGTTTTATAGGAGTAATAGATAAACCAATACACAAGGTTCTGATTCCGAGCGACTGTGAGTGGGCTAAATTAATATTATGCAGTTATAATTGTTCTATGAAATGTAATGTTATGAACTTAGGATACATAGCCATATGCCCAAAATCTATCTCATCACGCACATAATACAATAAACATCTTGACATATAAACAGCAAAGTCACCACAATGCATTGATTTAAGTTGTCATAAAATTTTCATCAATCTAAAACATCAAAAACACAGAATTTCATGTTAATGAATGAATTAGTCTTTTATTGCGATTTTTACTCACTTGGTAAGGACATGTTGAAATCCGTGGCGGTACTCGTGCTCAAAGGCTGGAATAACCACCTGAAATTAAGAAATATTGTATTTTTCGATAAATCCAATTAATTTTAATAAATGCTATATTACGTACGTCCGTTTATTCTTACAGCAATACTGTTATGACCTGACGTTACTCACTTGTTATAGACGTAAGGCAACGGCGGAGAAACAAGTAAAATCCTTCAGACTGCAGCTTGACTTTGATGATGTGTTAGGAAAAAATGTTTTGCTATTTGCTCGGGTTTTGGAAGAACCCAAAAGCTATTTTTATTAGGGCATTATGGCGTACACAGTCCGGGACGGCATGGTATTCAGCGCCCGTTACTTTCTCTACCCCCGCCGCCTCACCTCGCGGTAAGTAACAACGAGCGCCGTAGTCCTTGACCTGCCGTTGCTTACCGCGGTATGCCACAGAATCCTGCCGCGGGAGCCCGTGGCACGTCTTTCGTGGAACGAAATCCCTTGCCTTGGGGTAATACTCCAAAAAAAAAACCAAAAAATTAACGGCGTCATTATCCTTAAGCCACAGTTAACAATTCTGCTGATTAGAATACAAAGTTTAGTTTCAAAAATTGAGCCATGTCACTGCTCTCACCCAATGCAATAAAATACAGATGCTAATAAGTTACCGCGATGCTTAACAACGCGGGATGATTGATGCCGAATGATTTGTTAAATAAAAGTTAGAACTTTTTTGAAGAAACACCCCTTGCCTTACCTTGTCATGACGTCACAGTCTGCATAGGTCTTTACACAAACACATCCTCAGTTCCTTAGTATCCGTTCGTTAAATGCCAACAATTGATAGAATACCTGTTTTCTTTTGAAGTGGCTGGCTTGAAGTTTGTGTAATGCGTGTGTTTGCCTATCTGGCCACTCTGGCAAAATGACGACGAAGCTCAGCGGCTCGGCGGAATCTTGCAATAGCCTCTCCATATGTCGCAAGGCCGCTTCTAGTAGTTCCTCACAATAAGGTGGATGTGCTACCATTGAACCGGACACGGGACGCAGTTCCAAAAAGGGCCTAAAAATATTTTTAAATTCGTTAATTCCAAACTTCTGCTAAATGATACGGTCTCAGTCAAACTAGTTTCAAGTCACAGCCAGGGCCGTCTAAGGTGCGTCCACATCTAGCAAATACGCAGCTCGCAAGCTGCGTGCCATACGCACGCAGTTCGCTGGCGGCCTGAAGGACATCCCACATTTAAAAAGCACGGCTCCGACCCAGCCATTAAGTTGTCATTAAATACGAACTTTAAATCGTATGTCGTATGTATGATACATTTCGTAACGTCAATACAAAAGCCGACGGTGCACTGCCCGCGTAGCGGCGGCGACGGGTGCATTTACAAACAAACAATTTTACAAACACATGCCACCCAGACCCGAAACAACAATTTGTGAATCACACAAAGATTTGCTCCGTGAGGGAATCGAGCCCGCTACACGTTGCCGGGCAGCCGGTTACCGCGCAAATTGTAGCGGGTGTGTCCGTTGTAGAAATTGTCGGTCCTTCCGAGGCCCCCGAGCATGAGGGCCCTGGGCACGGGCCCCGAGTCTTATGATAAAGATGGTACTGGTCACAGCGGGACTCTGGCTGCTGGCCACATATTACGTCACACAAAATACCAAGTTATTGAAATCCTCCCCTCCATGTCACACTTTTCTGCGATATCGATACCATTAACACTAGTATTGGTATCGTTTAGTATGAACCTCTCCTCTCCTTACGGCGTTACTATAACATCATTCTTACCCCCGAGATCCAAAATATGTGTCAGTGTCGGCAAATGCAGAACAATATTGCCTGAAGTAGCAATCCAGCGGACTAGCGAAGCACTCGAAGGTGACGCCGAAGCACCGATGCAGACACTCGAGCACCGGCACGGGCAGCGACATCTGCGTCAGCTGCGCATCCCCGCCCGCGCCCACCCACGCCGCGTACCGACGCAGCAGGCACCACACGCGGGACAAGAACTGCTCGAACTTCTTGTCGTCGAAGCAACTGTACCGGTATAGGCATTCCTGTCAAACAATACACATTTATGCTAGGCATTTGCAATCTAATAAAGTTATAGGTAAAATAGAATCTATTGTTGCGTATCCTTTTGATTTACCATCCGTATCATTCTTAGTTTCGGAAAGTTAAATGGAGCATATAGCAGTAACTTATTTGTTAGGTACACAAATATGAGCGTACAGCGCATCGCGTTCGGCGCGCGCCTCAAAGTGCCATCAGACCACCACAGATGGGGCCCAACAGGGCTGATGCCGATACGGAGCCGCGGAAGACTTAACGGGTTGCCGGGGCTCCGGCTCGTAGTGCAGGAGTAGGAACGAGATGGTTTTTAGTCAGTAAGAATCTGACACTCCCTCTCGCCTCACCCGGGCGGGAGAAATCATTGGATGATTTCCGACCATCAAAAAAAAAAAGGTACACAAATATAATTTAAATTGCTATTGTTAGCAATCTTGCAGTAGGCATCAGGTACTCAACAACTTACCAGTTTCTGTAAATAAACAGCATTGAGGACCTGGGTTTCACCAAGATAGCGTAATAGTGTCTGATCACGGTCGAGGAAATGTTCTACGAGCGGAGGCCGTGGGGCCGGCACTGCGAACTGCACCGGATAACACCACACCTTACGCAGAGCTGCTTGTTGCAGTGGAGCTTGAAGTTCCTAATGTAAACAATTAATGGAATCTTTATCAGAATAATTCTTTTATAAACTACACATTATTATAAAACAATCCCCCACATTTTTGAAGTCGATTAAAAAATACATAATGTTTAGTCTTGTATTATATAATTATTTAAAGAACGAGGTAAACTTTGGCGATGGCAAAGCGCATATCTCGACAACAGCAGAACCGATTTGGTTAATTCTTTTTTGTTGGTTTTGTAACTGTTAAAAGATTCTGATGTGAGAAAAAATTAACAAAGATGTACAGATTACCCTGTGCATCTTGGTAATTGTTTTATCTTTTCTTTCTTTCTTTCGAAACCAAGTTCGTAGTTTATACTAGCTTCTGCTCGCGACTTCGTACGCGCAATCCCGTTTTCTCCCGTTCCCATAGGATTTTCAGTACTTTTCCGTCATAAGAACCTTCTCCTGACAATAGTAAACACAACAACAAATAACCTCCTCCTTTTTGGGAAGTCGGTTAAAAATCAGCCAAATCGGTCTAGCCTTTCTCAAGTTATGGCGTGACATCGGGAAATGGGTTTTATTTTTATATAGATACAGATTACTAATGCTGAAGTATTTTGTATGTATGCTTGTGGTTGTCTTGTTGATACTTTAAACACATGCATGCACAAAAAGATATGCTAGATTTAAATACATGATATCAATATTTAGCATCTATAGGCACTAATAATTAACTAGGTAGGCTACAGGCTACAGAATAACCTGTGTGTAGTAAATATATTACGAAATTGCAAAATAATATTTAGAGGAAAACAATACTATTGTCTGTTCCTATATTACCTTTTGGATTTAAATAAAAAATATTATATACATACTAAAATAACTAAAAATCGCGGGTTACTCCCGTGAACTGCTACGTAGTAAGTATAGAATAGTAAGCTGCGCGACATCGCCGCGATCGCGCACGCTGCTCATGAGGAAGACCCCTCTGTGGTTCGAAACTAGTAGAACTTTTCTCAGTATATTCACGTGAGTAACCCGCGATTTTTTGTTTACTTATTATGTCTCATGATAGTAATTATAAAAAATATTATATTAACCAACCTGTATTCCATTCTCTTTAAGTAATGCACTATGTTTCTCTCTTATTTTACGAGCATATTCAGCAGACAAATGATAAATTTTCAAGCAAATTCCTTCAACTGATGCTTTTACAGTTTCAGCCAAATGCGGTTGACACTGTCTCTGGAAAAGTAAAGATAATTTTAGTAAAACCATATCATAATTATACAATATCAGTAGCGATTACAGGACACCGAGTTTATTATTTTAAACTGATTGTAAAATTACATAATTAAATTAAATCATTTAGATAAAGATATATATTAAATCATTATTTATTTTATGTACATTTTTTAACTTTTAATTTAAACAATGTGCTCAAGTTATTCTCAATTTAACCCATTGAGTACTGTCATTATAGACACAATTAAAGAACTATAGGTGGTCTAATCTAACTATATGGTGGTCACCGGTGTCCTTGCTGTGTTTGACAGTTTAAATGTATTTTTCCCAACAGTAAGTACTTGTATTTTATAGTAAAGTAATATCATTTACCCGCAAATGTGCTAATCTATCTTGAAAATCATCATATGTTGCTCCAACAGTTCGCCTCAACCACTGAAATGTATCTTCAGCATTCCATTTCACCACCTTACGACTTTCAGGTGATGCATTTCGTGATTCAATCATTTTCTTTGCTGCTTCTGCATACCTTGATAATTGTTTCCTGGCATCGCCAGTAAACTTTGGATGTGTGAGTTTAATTGGAATGTCATTCATAATTTCCTCATACATTGAATGTGATATTTCTGGGAAACAATGACTAGGAAGAAGGGGGTCTGAACCACCCTGATCATTGACCTTCCTTTCCATTAGCCATCTATTGAATGAATCTTTAGGAGCATCAATGCCTTCTCTTGTATGGCATAGCTCTTGGTAGCATTGTCTTAACTTATTGGCCAAGGTGAATCTAAATCCTTCTATTTCTGGGTGGGGATGTGGACAAATAGTTGGAGGTCTCTCATATATTACCACATTAGTTGGCACCTCAATATCCCAAGGTCCAGCTAAAACAAATTTCTTTGGTGGCGGTCCATTATCTTCAGATGGACGACGTTTGTTAGCACCAGGAGTCATGTTACCTGCATTTGATGGGCCGGTGTGACAGATGCCTAGTGGATCTGTTATTGGATCAAAATCTCTCTTTACTGCAGGAAGTTCCCACATAGATTCACCGGACAGCTTGTTCCAGAAATAAGGTCTATTTTCTCTTTTAGACCAATATTTCCTCCAGCCTTGTTGTAAAAGATCTGGATGTAATTCAGCTGCTAGGTGTGGGGCCAGAGGAACTGGTGCTCCTGGCGTCTGGGGTGTCTCACCACCAGTACTTGGAGACGACTGCAGTTCTGGTGATGAGTCACTCTGAGTTGCATTACTCTCCCATGTTGAAGTTCCAGGGACAACTTTGTCACGAACATCATTCATGTTGCCTGTTCAACTAGGTACACGAGAACGGCGTGAATACTGCTGATGTTATTCACTTCTTAAAACTGTTTAATATTTGAAGTACTTATTTATATGCAAACTTTATCCGATTAATAAGGTTCTAATAAGTATGTAGGTATATTTTTATTTAGAAACACAACATTGATTATATTGATACCACCAGACAATAAACGCATGGATTTGCGGTTGTTTCAAATGGTTCTCACGATTCCACATATTTAAATATCACTTAAAATAATTCAAAACAAACAAAAATCCTAAGTTCAGAACTAAGAAAACACCGCGTCCTATGTTAAAGAACAATAGCGTAACTCCCCAAGCGCCGCCATCACAAAATGACAACTGAACTGAATTGGCTTTGGCTGTTTAGAGGTGGAATGGAATGAAATTGGAGTTCGGATTCACACTAGAGTTGTCCTTATTGGAAACGATTTCAAAAACTAAAGGCTGGAACTCACTGCCGGCACGGCACGCCATAGCAAGGCATTACTATCTCAGGTTATTTTGATACTACTAACCATTAGGTAGCGCGCCAGAAGTTTCTCAGTTTCATCAGTTACAGGTTTGCAGCCTATTGGTGGCCACGGCGCAACCACATGGGCACGACACGCCTCTACTCTTTATTTTATATTCGTGTTATCTGATCTTATGGGTCGTAGCCCTATCTGAAAAATTTGTCATATCGGATATAATCAGATATATATTATATAGCAAATCATTTGAGTACATCCTATGTTCACCACATCAAATGTCACTGGCACTCACCTTCGGTTAGCGTTTCGCGAGTGTCAGTGTCATCTGTCATCGAAAGTGTCAAAGTGCTATATTTATATTTTGTTTTCCTTTGAAAAATAAAGAAAGTGATCAAATTCAATATGATCATAAAAGAAATGTCTAAAGAATGTATCATTTTATTATAAATCTGTAATGTTGTATAAACGATTGTAAGTATCTTTGCATCTCAGTGCCTGATAATCTTTCACGACAGATTATTTACTATTTATAGTATCATCTTATCAAGAAGAATTCATAATTATTTTAGCCTCGAAACTAAAGAAAAATATTACCGTTAATTAAAATTTGGCTGAAGAATTATAGAGGTGGCTTTTTATATTGTTTCGAGAAGTCATTGACTTATTATTATTAAACGCTTCTAGTCATTCCAGCAAAAAAATAAGGTAATATAATAATGTCTAAGATACATTATGAAATACAATGTCCATTGGATGTGGAAGTTCCCGAGTATGATTACAGTGCCTGGAGTTGTGATAAAGCTGTTTTTCAACAGGAAAATTTTGAGTTCTTAGACTTTTTTAATGACTTTATGTTAAAAAATTTACCTTGCATAATTAAAAATGTAACAGACAGTTGGAAATGTGCTCAAGAGTGGGTAAAAGGAGCTCAAATAAATTATGATGGAATTATTGAACAATACGGTGATTTTATTGCTCCTGTAGCTGATTGTAAAAATATTCAGTTTAATGCTCAATGCAAATCAGATATGAAAGTGTATGAGTATATTGATTACTTGAAGAACATAACTGATAATAGAATATTATATTTAAAAGACTGGCATCTAAGGAGAAGTGTACCAAATGACTACTTTTATGAAGTGCCAAAATATTTTTCATCAGATTGGCTAAATGAATTTGCTATAGATAATAATGAGGATGATTTTATGTTTGTATACATTGGCCCCAAAGGATCATGGTAAGTGGCAAGTTATAATATTCCTAATTATGTATCTAATACTAACTCTAATACTATCATATAAATTTAACTTAGCAAGTCATCTCGAGAACTACTGGTTTGATTTTAACTCGTCGAGTACCGGTTTCGTAGACACAATTATAGAACAATAGGTTGCGGTCACCGGTGACCGCTTGGTGTTTGACAGTTTAAAAAATATTTTTTATGTTGGATAGTTAATTCATTCATTGAGGAAGGCTACAGGCTATAAAAACTATCAAGCTATGATCAATAGGAGCTGAGCAGAGTGGGTGGAACCGCACGGGAATAGGTAGTATTCAATAAATACCATAAACTACTTCTTGCTGAGTGTGTGTGCTATTGTGACTTGATGTGACTCGAGTTAATACTAATCATGACATATAGCATATTCCTTTATTTAAAAAAAGTATAATTACCTACATTTGTCTTAAATAATACACGGGACTGATATGATATTATTATTTTTAATTAATATAGTATAAATTATAATTTTAAAAACACAACAATTTCAAAAAATGCAGGAGTCTGTTTCATCAATGACAATAAGTTTTTGTTACTTATGTGTCAGTTAAGGTCATTTTTACATGGGAGATACATAAAATTACCCAACCAGTAACTATATTAACTTAACCAAAAATTGTGAATTAGTGTAAAACAATATTAATATCACTGATTGCAACCATTACATCATCTTGTCAAAGTTTACATCGCCACACCCAACACATATAATGTTAAATATTCCCATCCAAAATATTAAATACTATAATCTATAATGACGGTACTCAACGAGTAAAAAAATATATTTAACAGAATTTCATTAAATCAGGTAATCATTTCTGTCATAGCTTAAATCACCACACCCACCCCATATAATGTTAAATATTCCCATCCAAAATATTAATACTTAAAAAATATATTTAACCGATTTTCATTAAATTAGGTAATCATTTCTGTCACAGCTAAGTAGACAAAATTAGATTACATATCTTTTTATAATACTGTGTGTATAATATAATGTATTTGTGTTACTGCAAATGAACAGAATTCGTTTTCAAAAGATAGTACATCTGTGTAAATTAATTTGTTTCAGGACACCATTACATGAAGATGTATATTGTTCGTACAGTTGGTCCGTAAATGTTGTTGGAAGAAAAAAATGGATTTTGTTTCCTCCAGGAGAAGAAGATAAATTAAAAGATCCATTGGGTAATCTCCCTTTGCTATTCGAACCAGATAAACTACAGAATATTACATATTTTGAAATCATACAAGAAAAAGGAGATGCCTTATTTGTTCCTTCTGGTTGGCATCATCAAGTATTTAACGAATCACATACAATTTCAGTCAATCATAATTGGATAAATGCATGTAATGTAGAAATAGTATGGAAAGCGTTAGCACATTCGTTGGTGGTAGTTGAACGTCAAATAGAGGAATGTAAAGGCACACCAGAATTTCCTGCAGAGTGCCAATTAATCCTTAAATCCCACTTTGGCATGGACTTTGAGTCTTTTGTTACGTTTTTGCTTTATATTGCCAAGAAAAGGCTGACTCAATTGCAAGGTAATTCACGGGAAATTTTCAAAATATACTCACTTGGTATGAGCATAATCAAATTTGATTTAAAAAATATACTAAAAGTAATGAACTTAATTTATCAACATCCAATATTTTTAGAGAATAACATATTGTCTTCAAAGGAAGACGAATTTAAACAAGTCAGAAAAGAGCTGAAGGTAATTTTCTCGTAGTAGTAGTAGTACTGAGGATACTGTGTAATACCAAAATCCACGTGTTATAAATTCGGTTTTCTAATTGCATAAACATGGTTATTTTCGATAAGTTTTTCGATTTCGACCTTAGTATATCCTAACTCATATAATATGTCAATAGTATGTTGTCCAGGCACTGGTAAAGGCTTACAACCACTAGATATCCCTGGAGTACGTGATAATTTGGGAACTGGTTCCGGTACAATCTTATCATTTTCATCGCGATGAAAAGATGTATCAGATGCCCGGAATTTATGTTTATCTACTTCTTCTATATCTATTACCGGAGTGACACATGCATCAAATTGTTCAAATATTTTACACCATTCTTCTTGGGTCTTCGTCAGAAATACTTCTTGGAATTTTCCCTTACAGTATTCGTTATTGTCGCCTTGAATATATTCTTCTTCAGACAATTGTAACCCTTTCAATAACTCTGAATAGAATTGTGGTTCGAGGGCTCCTACTGCCATAAACTTTCCATCTTTAGTTTTGTATGTCTGGTAGCATGCAAATCCCCCATCAAGAACATTCGTACCTGGTTCTCCCGACCAAATTGGCAAATCTCTTGATTTAAATAGCCACTTACCAACATATGCTGCTCCTTCTGTCATACTAGTGTCTATAATCTGCCCTCTGTTCGATTTCGTTCGTTCAAACAAAGCTAATACTATACCTAGAGCACAAAGTACACCACCTCCCGCAAAGTCACTTAGAAGATTTAGAGGTGGTGTTGGGGGTTGTTTATTTCTGCAAAGTAATGAAAGTATACCAGACATGGCAACATAATTGATATCATGACCAGCTTTATTTTTGTAGAATCCATTTTGACCGTATCCTGTTAACCGGGCGTAGACGAGTTTAGGATTTTCTTTCATAAGAGTTTCAGGACCTAATCCCAGCTTTTCCATAACGCCAGGTCGAAATGTGTCCAAAAGTACATCGGATGTCGAGCACAGCTTTTTTATTACATTGACTCCTTCCTGGGTTTTTAGATTCACCGATAACATTCTCTTTCCGTTAGACATTACATCAAATGGAGTTGGACTGATCTGGAAAATAAAAGAATAAAAGTAATCAAAATTCTTAAGAGCACGAGCCTAGAGTGCTGCAAGGTACCGATACAACTCTAATGCCTAACAGATAGTAGGTATAACTATAAACTATACGCCACATTCAATAACTGGAGAAAATCGAATCTTACAGGAACATACCTTTTGCACCACAGTTACGTTCGCTCCAAAGTCCGCCAATAAACTACCACATAGCGGACCAGGGGCAAGTCCCATCATTTCGATAACTTTTACACCTTTCAATGCCATTTTCTGGAACAAAATAGTTTTCATTTAAGTATTAAAGTTATCATGTCTACATTTATGTAAGTAAATACAACAAAGTGCCAGTGCTAATAGCCCGTAGATAAAGTAGATTAAATTGCAACAATATTGTAATCAACTAAGTAATTATTATTCCTCCTTTCCTCAAGTATTGAGGTTTTTTGTACATCTAATAAGCACGCCTCCAACCTAGCAATTAAGTTGTCATTTAAATATTGTTGTCATTTAAATTGTTGCGTTGGTTGGAAGCGCGCCGACGCTGAACCGAAGCCGAAGATGTGCGATGACCTTTAGTCTCTAACCGAGATCTCTGCTAGAGAAAAGTTAAAAAGGGATGCTCAATGCTCATTGTTAAATCAATGTATTTGCATTATTTTTTAAATTTACTTGTGAATAGATTTCCGTTTGATTTATCATTCGTAGGTACCGGCCCTAGCCATGTGATTATTTTTATTTTACTTATAGAGACTGCAATGTACACAGTGATATTATATAGGTACTTAAACTATGTAAATCATTTGACCCATAATTGTATTACTCTTTATCTTTTTCCGTACGAAACCGCGATGTACCTGTGTTGTTATAATTAATTTCTAGCTCAACTATTGTTTTAATATTTAATCCAATTATGGTTTGAAGTCGTCTATGAATTCCTTAATACCCTAGTCACTATCATTAAGATAATCCTCGATTCGATATTTTTTAAATAGCATGTTAATGTATATATTTATAATTAGATGAATAGTACTATTTCATACATAGTTAATGACCACAAGTATTATACTGTAATATAAATCCATGTTAACTTTTATCAACAAAGATTTGTTCTTATAAATAATAATTAAGGAAACTACTTCATACTGATAAAAGTAAGCAACATTAGTCTGTAGGTATAGCATGTTCAATAAAATAAATTGGGAACTGTGGCTCTAATATTGTTATTTACACATTCACGTATTAGTATTCCTAACAAACTTTGTACCTAAGTAAGTAGGTATAAAGTTTAAAGATTACCAATGGAAAATATACTACAGATATATAAACTTACACCTTGGTCCCAAGGGCAGGACCTATAGAGCCCCACCAGGTATGTACTATGTAACCATGTTCTTCCTACTTCTGTCTAGTATTACATACCTACGTATACCTAAATAGGTACGTCTTAGGTATATCGGTACGGTAGGCCAGTGGGTACATTTTTTATAATACCTACCGGCCTACCGTACACTTTGTTGGGAGTATGAAACATGGAAAACAATACTATTCCTAATCCTTAAAACATGCCGCGGAGAACCTAACGGGTTACCGGGGCTCCGGCTCGAAGTGCAGGAATAGGAATGGTGTGGTTTTTAGTCAGTAAGAGTCTGACACTCCCTCCCGCCTCACCCAGGCGGGAGAAGTCATTCGATGATTTTCCCCCCTTAATTACCCACAATAGAGTTAAAAATCGAATAAAGACCTTTGACATAAAACAGTAGTCAACCTGCTGCCCACTGTGTAAGAAATAAAATGATGTTTAAATTTTTAAAATTTCTAGTCAAATGATCGCTTACCATCAGGTGATCCGTCTGCTCGTTTGCCTCCTATTAGATTAAATGAAGAGTAATTAAGCTACATAATGATTATATCGGTTCTTACTGCCTAATTAGGTGCAGGATTTTTAATAGTCCATTAATTTTTAAACGTATATATACGTAGACATTTTATAAACATACCTTGTTCAATAAAATTAATTTTAACGAGAACAATGTTGAACTTTCAATTTTCACTAAAAAGTTCACAACAGACTCAACTAACCAGTTGATATGGACTGTCGTACGGGGTTAAAGTCGACAAACTCTTGTCCGAATGAACGATATGAACGAGAGTGTAATAAATTAAGATAAAAATATTAAAATAAAAACTTGAAAACAACCAAAATGATTATAGGTAGGTACCTACTACAGACTACAGATACAGACCCATGAAAAATCTGTTAAAATATTATTTTCTTCATGTCAATGTCTACTTTCTTCAGCTGTAGGATAAGTACATAAATATGATCCTCACATACATATTGATGTACTATTCGTATTTCACCCTATCATCGCATCCTATGATATCGGAACGGAATTACTTGAAAACTTTTTGACATTTTCGTGTCCAGCACAGAACACATATACCCTAAAGGTGGAGTCCAGTCTCCAGTGCCAAGTTGGTTGTTTGTTCCAGTTGTATAGGTACTTACTCTGCTGTCCGTCCACGGTTCACGACTGGACTGCTAGGGATGTTATCACAAACAAAATATAGATGGGCGGTTTTTCGGATAAATACTCAAAATTGATAAATATCGTTTAAGGAACAAACAAACAAACTCACTTTCCGATTTATAATATTAGTAAGGATTATCATAAGTACGATAATCTAAAAGACATCAAGTTTAAGTGTATCATAATCACGTAGCCTGTTTAGATGGTCCGGGTTATTCCCACGTGTTATAACCTTATACCGACGATTTTCACTACTGAGTATTTATCCATTTTTATTTTACTCGTGTAGTTATCCAAAAATATGGATAAATACTTAATCTATATTCAGTATTTATCCATTTTTAGTATTTGACATGACGATGGATACCTTCATATCGATAATTTCTCCTCCTTTTAAGTTGTTTATATCTCCTCCCCTATTTTCAGCCAAATCGATTTAGCCGTTCTTTAGTTATAAATAGTATAACTTTATTTTTATAATTATATAGATTATCAAAAATCTCAAAGGCTAAATAAAAAATCGAAGAAGTTTATGCACTTTTATTTTAATTTACCACAATATGGACAATATAACCATAAATCAACGAAGCTTTTTAACAGTGGCATTCGTATCCCATCTCTATTTCGATTTCAAATAGTCTATGTCTATGACTGACTGACTGACTGATTGAGATTGGCTTGCTGCAATGTCCGGAACAGGGCCGTCACACTTACAGCCATTGACAGCTTTAAAAATCGGACCGTCAGCTACATCTAGTTTTCGAACCTGAAATTAAATGTTGTCAAAACTTTTTTTTTGTTGTCAAAACTAATATTTTCAGTGGCCACACAGTTCCAACCAAGGTTGCAACATTATTTCAAAATTTAGGGTTAAAATAATATTTTTTGGAAATAGTACAATAACATTATACACATTTATTTAATACTATATTGCAATTTTCACAAAATAATTCCTTAAACTTAGATCAAATGACAGT